CATTACTGTCTGGATGTGATCCTGGGCAATATGCTCTAGGTGACCCTGCTTGAGCAGGGAGGTTGGACTAGATGATCTCCAGAGGTCCCTTCCAACCTAAACGATTCTGTGATTCTGTGATTCTGTGATTCTGTGATTTTGGAATTGGGAGACCATGATGAAAAGTGTAAATAATGCAACCACCCTTGTAGTCAGTAAAACTTAGAAACACAGTAAAATGGTTTTGGACATCAGGAAAAAGTTTCAAAAATATTTATGGTACAAAGAGAGTTGAAAGATATGAATAAAAGAACAAGGAGCTGATGGCAGTCATTTCTTGCTTCACTAGGTTCTGATGTAGCACATTTATGTAATTAACCGCTTGTACCTTCAACCAAGCAACAATACTGACAGGAGTACAAATAGAATTTTGTAATAATAATAATAATTATATTAATGTGATTCTTCCCTTGTTAATAAGATCTTCATAAAACAGTAATTTTATATTATGGTACTATAAGTTCAAACACTTTCTAGAGGCCTGCAGATCTTAAGACAGAAGTTGATGCAGATGTCTTCACTTTATTAAAGTAGAAGTTACTATTACCTATTCTTGCAATATATATATTTATACCACAAATAACTATGCTAAAGAGGATATAGCGAAAGATCAGAAATTTGTCAGCATTTCTAACCTAGGAATGATTCTCCCACAAAATCAGTTTTATAATTAATATAAATTGAGAAAAGCACAATTAAGGAGGCCAGCAGGGGGTCCCAAATGCTGAGGAAATTAAAAATAAATACAGAGGTTCAAAAGAGTCCATTTTATCATTTTCACTCTGAAATAGAACCCTTGGGAATACATATAGCAATTGCTGTTTTCAATCAAAAATCTCCGCTCAGAGCCTTTCTTGATTCCAAACTGTAAAGTATTTTTTGGAAGCTAAAATCAAATTGAAAAGTTGTGCCTGGGCTAAAATTAAGCAATCTGATCTGTTTATTTACGATGTGTCTGAGTTACAATGTTATCTGCTCTGATGTAGGTAATTAAAAAAAAGTTAAATTAAATTGATTTTCATGCCCAGAGGGCTACATTCAGAGAGGCAAAACCGCAAGCAAAATCCAATCTGGACAAGTTCTAAAAGAAATGTTAGTGAAAATATTCCCAAGAACCCAGGGGAAGCATCAGAGAGGTGGTTTCTGAGCTCTAGCCTGCGCTAGCACCCTAGCACACTGCACACTGAGCCTGCAGTCAGGTGCGTACCAAGCAGCACAGTGCACTAAACCTCAGGTCACAATGCTGAGCATACAGTCACAGATCCTGCGGATAACAAATCACATATATTCCAGCAGATTAAACATGCCTGAGATTATTGAGGATGTGGAGATCATTCACAGAATGGCTGGCCTCTACACTGGTAAGCTGCTGAGACTAGATATCTGAAGGCAAACCGCTCCCTGGGTATGTTTACTGCTCTCTTGTGACTGACAGACATGGGAACAGTGTAGGGAGAGTGAGAGTTGAAACGGGCCAAGATTTTGTCAAGGAATGTGCTGAGAGTTGACTAGCATGGACAATCATATTCCCATGCCTGGAAACAGTTCTCAGCACGCCTGAATTTACTCGTGTAGCTGCAGCCAGAGAGATTGATATGAGCGATATTACACAGACACAGAGGCTCAAAGCCCTTGAACAACTCTAAGGCCTGAGCTGGGAGCCAGTCATGAACTTCTAAAACAGCTTCTTTATTCTAGTTTAGAGCAGGCTATCATCATACAAAATATTTAATGACCGTATAGTTTAAAATAGTCGTACCTCCATGTCATGGCAGTCTGTCTCTTCTGTTGCGTCAGCCCAACTGCTTGTGGAGTCTTGCTCTGAGCTTATCATAAAATAGACCCAGGGTATAAACAAAAGAGCAGTGTTTACTTCATCTTTATTGCAGGGTTCAGTGCAGAACTCTGCAATAGTCCAGATCAATACAGCTGTCTGAACTAGATCACGGAAATGATCTGGGTTACAAGCAGACCTGCAGTACAAATGAGCAACAAGCCATAGGGCAGGCCTGGGATCAAATGGAAAAGGGTGGAGGGGCAGGAATATCTGAAACTTCTGTTATTGCCAAAGCTGCCGCATCACAAAACTGTGGCCTCTCTGAGCTTTTTTAGTCTGTTTTATGCCAAAGAAAGATATTAACTTAAACTACTTTTTTTTTCGTTTTCTGCTTACCTGGTTTAGTTTATTTGAAATACAACCATGAATAGCCAAAAGGCACTTCAGGAAGTTGTGTTATCTGAGCAATTAGTTACTGCCTCAGTTGAAGCAGGGTACTTGACTGTAACAATATGGATATCTGAAACATAAACTAACATGTTAAAAGTGATGCAAATTCATTTCACAAAACCGCACGTATTGAGGAGGGAGACAAATACTGCTGGGTGGTAGGAAATGCTGAATAATGCTCGTTTCGGAAGTTTAGAGATCAATCAGAGCTCAGAATTTGGCCTCCTCTACATAGCACAATTGTCTGAGTGAGCAGGCCTTATTATTTTTAAAAGACCAGTAAAAGTGCCTATTTTTGTGAAGACAAGCACAATATGCAAGAAAATAGAAGAACAGTTTTAGGCTTTCCTTATATAGAAGATATTTAATCTGTTGTTTTTCATCTTTCAGAGAGTGTCTGACTAGCAGGATACTCTGTGTAAGTATAAGCGCTACACTTGGGACCTCTGGTCACAAGAGTCACGGGGCCCTATGTAGAGAAAGTTGAGGTGAAGCCTAATGGAGTATTTAAATGGAAAGGCAAAGATAATCATCTGTGTCCCATCAGGATAGGATTTCCATTTCTGGATAAGTGTTTCCTGTTTCCTAAGCCTGTTGCTTAGTTATTTATAAAATGATGAATTCCTTCCTTGTAACAGAAAAGATTTTGATTGTTTTTATAATGCAAGTAGTTCCATCCATTTTATGTCGTTACATTTAAAAACATGTTTATTACAGCCATCCTTTTTTTTTCTCCTGGATATGACATTCCTTCTATTGACAATGTTTTCCCAATGTCTTTGCTTTCAGTAAAATTCATCATTATATTTCTGCTTTATGTTCCAAGGTCATGAATGGAAATATTAAATGACAATGGTGCCGTGACCTATACAGAGAACTTCCACTCACAGAGTCCATCTAGCTTGCTACATTTCTATGTGCTCTTTAGGCTGTACCTGACCACCTTACAGTTCCTCCATTAATAATTACATTCTCCAGCTAAACTAATAGTTTTTTAAGAGATGTCATCCCAGATGACTTACTGAATTGCAAGCACACATACTTTAGTAGAGTTACTATACAATAGTGTTGCTGTGCAGTAGGTATAATATGTAAATTTAGAGTATTTTTTTATTTTTATTTCTGCTGTTTAAAAGATGTTCTAATTTAACATAAAAAGATATGAGGTTAATCTGGTATCGTTTCCTTTTGTCAAACCAAATTTGCATTTGCATTTTGGAATTTTGTGCAGGTCAAATCAGTAGTTAATCTCAGTATTTGCTCAAAGGAAAGATGGGATAGCATTACAGCTGTCTAGACAGCAACTCAGCTGTAGCTATGGAATTGGAACAGGAAAAGCAGACACAGAAAATAGAAGGAAGAGACTAATTCCTTTATGTTTTCAACAATTTTATTCTTGATTAATGACTTTTCTTACCGAGTAGATAATTGTCATGTTATAAGTTTTTGTGCTTTGGATGCCAGTTTAACACAAGTCATGAAGAAAAATTAACAAAAAGAATAAAATAGTTTATTTTATAAGAATATATATCAAAGAAATATAGTGACATAAGCATATAAGTTACTAGATTTATTCATATTTTAATGCTGGCTGAAAAAATACATTAAATTGGAATGTGGATGAAAAATATATGGAGACAATGAATAGGTTTGCAGTTCTGTATGTAACAAAACACTCATGAATGATATTTAGGATTTTATCAGATTCAGACCGTTGTCTGGTATGAAATGAAATAGTGTTATTGAAGTTAATAGCAAATCTCATATATACCAGGTAGAGATAGATGGGGCAATGAGGGTCAAAGATATACCCTATAGAAATTGACAGTTTTTATTAGCATAGATTTATATTATACTTTTTTCTATTGTTCTAATTTTTTTATTTTATTTTTTTATTTCTCTGACTTTTTGTCTTCATCAAGAATCTTTGTTCATGAATCGGTTTCATGAAGTAACCTTGAATTGACAGACAATTTAAATTAACTGAAAATGTACTTGCAAATCCATTGAACTTATAAAATTTACTCAATAGTTAATTTTTTTTACAAATTAAATAAGGCACCCTAAGTATGTGGATTTTCATCCTTTCTGTCATAACTGCTTTTCCCTGTCATTTCAAAAAATAATTCTAAAGCTCTATATATATTTGCTATTTTTAAAAAGTTATTAAAACATTAATAAAATCTTTACAAGCATAAAGGGAGCTTTACACATGCACCAATCAGCAGGTTTTCATGGCATTCTCAAAATAAATTCTCAATCACATGTGCATTAATATGATGAGTCACTTTGGGGAAAATTTATCTTGAGGACCACTTCTACTTTCTTTAAAGACTCCACAAACAGCCTTCGATTTGGCAGGTAGTTTGAATTTACTAAAATGAACAATAAGGAACTTATTCTGAACACTATTTTCCTTCCAGAATATGTTGGTTATACTCAAGTTTGAAAAAAAGTGTGTTAGCAGTATCAGAGAATTTTAGAACAGTCACATCAAAGAATTGCAATATGAATTGGATATGCTTGGGGACATGCTTTTGCATCCTTAGATGAGATTCAAAATAGAACATCTAATTAAGATGTGACCTTTGTGCCTTATGACACCTTTCAAATTCTTCCTTGTCTTCTTGTAGTGTACATTTGAGAGGATGTTATTTATTTATGTACATTTATATATATATATATATGTATATGTATGTATGTATGTATATTTTTTGAGCATATCTTTCTTTGGACTTGAGTCGTAAGACTACTTGCAAAAGTTGATTGTTGTGGATCGTACTGTAATCACTGAAGCCGCTCAGAGTAAGACAGCACAATCCCATTCTTGTTTGTAGCCCTCTCACAGTGAAGGTCTGAACAAGATTACACTCCCTCCACACTTGTTGGAGTGCTCCAGACAAGACACACAACCCTGACTCTGCCCTGCTACTTCCCATTCAGCATCAGGAACGGGAAAGAAGTCTGTCAACAGTTGTTACTTCTTCCCTTCTTCCTCCTTCATCAAACTCAAATGCAGAACCTGACAAATGGAAGCATGTACCCAAAATGTAAAGGAGATACACACATTTTAAATGATTTTCATTCATATATGTGCAGCAGGCTTCACAACTGAACTCAAACAAAAAAAATAAAAATTGCTGTTTTTAGAAATATTTACTGGGTTTAAAAAATGTGACCTGGGTTTAAATGAGTGTTTATCTGGATATCAAACAGTAAAGTTCTCATTGTTATTTCTCAGACATTCAAACTGAATATTCTTTCAAAATGGAGAAGACACAGGAAATTGTCCACAACCGTGAAAGCTAACTTCATTTTCCTTCCTGGAGTTAAATAGTACTTTGAGCCAAAAGATATAGGTGAAAAGCACTATTAGACATATAGCCTATCAGTTTTCTTGATCCTGTATAAAGTCATCCTGCGAAAGCAATATCCTGTGAAACTTAATCTAACTCTGAAGTTAGTCCTCCTTTGAGGAGTTTAACTAGATGGTCTTCAGCGATCCGTTCCATCTTAAATTATTATATGATTCTATGATAAGTAGACTTCAGCAGGTATTGCAGACCGACTTCAGTAGGTATTGTGTTGGGCCAGCACTTCTGACAAAAGAAGACATTGATATAAAATGTTGAATGTTAAATTTGTTCAAAAATATAATTCTGAGGAAAGAAATTTCTGGAAAATATCATTAGAGATTTGGTTCTATTCTTTGATTTAGAAGCTGAAAACAAATATATAAAAATATTTGGTTGTGAAGAATTTAATTGTTAAAAACATTTTCCAAAAAATCTTTAATATCCACTGCTTACCAAAATCTTTAAAAAAATTTAACCTTTCAGTTTCCATTTTTCATAAAAAAGGTCCTAGAATAACACCAAAAAATATTTTAAATAAAAATACATTTTAGATTGAAAGTAATTTTTCCTTAAAGGTATGTTTCAATTACGTTTTAAAATAATTTATCTTTAATATGCATCACTCTCTTTTTATGTATGGCTGTAATAGCTAACTAGTTAGCATACTCATTTGAGAAAACTGCAATATTGGATATTAATTAGTTTTGTCATTTTATAGGACAGCCATTTTCATCCAGATACAACATTCTATACCAGCATAAGCTGATTATCTTCTGAAGTTGATAAAAATGTGGAGAATGTTAATGATCCAGATTAGAATAAGATATTATTATTGCATGCTATCAGGGCTATACAGCATGCTATTCTCAAGTGTGTTTGTCAGAACAAATTAGCTTCCCTCCTAGATTTTAGTATATTTTATTCAGAGAAAGCAGTTTGGTACAATAAAAGTCAGAAATTCATGCTTTAGTTTATATTATATTATATTATACTGGACTAATTACAAAGAGGTAATAAGTTAGATAAACTTTCTAGGGGACAGATTCTCATTATCAGGTCAGGGAAATTAATTTGGAGTAGAGCAACTGACAGAGTGGCAAGCTGTTGACTGAGATCTTGTAATTTAATTAAGAAGTAGGCTATTATCAAGGTAATTTTTTTAAGGTGCAGCTGTGGGCTCCTTCCTAATTATCGTGTTCAAATTTATAATGACAAGAAAGCATGTTTCAACAGCTGGAGTAGTCTATTATTTTTTGTGTCTTCTTTCAAGAAACAGTGTTATATAGGATTACTTCTTATATTGAAATGTTGAGAAAAAAGATAAAGAATGTAGATTTTTTAATAGCAGTCTACAGGTTTACTAAGTGCTATGGATATGTGGACTTTCAAAAAGAACTTATAAGAGAAAGTCTAGTTGAACATATAAAAGGAGCCAGGTTCGCAGAGCAGACTCTGTAACGCAGGTCTGAGTGCAGGCAATGTTACTTGCCTTTCCCAAACCAAAAGTCCTGTATCAGGTGGCCTTGATACATGGAAGATGAGCAAAACAGAACTGAAATAGCAACAGTAGTGTTCTCATAATACAAAAATAGTGCACAAGTAGAGACGGGGAGAACAATATATCTTCACAAGAGAAAAGAACAGTAAAGCTGTAGAGAACAGAGCAAGATACAAAGCAACAGCTGGAAACTATCAACAGCAGAAAGACAGCGTGATAAAGTATAAAAAAGGTGTTTTTGGAACAACATAGAGGCTGCCAGAAAAGCCAGAAATAACACAGCTGTCATCAGTGTACTGCACATGTTGATTCCAAGGTTTCAAAGGAGAAGATATGCAGGAAAATACATAGAGCAGTATGTAATGTTGAACTGAAAGACCGTATCTTACATTTAAAACTAACATGGGACAACTACTGCAGTAGTTCCAGAACAGAACAAAAAAAAATCAGAACAATGTTTATTCAAAGAAGCAGACCTGTGAAGATCTGGTAAAATACTGTATGGGCTCAGATAAACAATGTAAGACATTTATGTTCAGTCCCAATGAAAGTAAGAAAAGTGATTTTTTTTCAGATCAATTAAGAAACAAAGATTGACAGTATACCCTTAAGTTACAGAAATAATAGAGAAGTCTGGTTCACATCCTTGATAAAAAATGACTTGGCAGAGGCTGTTTAAACAAATGTTTCTATGATGAGGAAGGTAGCTTAGACTGAGTGCAAAAAAGATGTAATTAACAACTTCAGATGCACCATGATGTCCGTATTTGGGAAAGTGAGAAAACTGTAGAGAGTGATAATATAGAATTAGATATTACTTAGTGAGACAGGAACAGATCTAGCAAGAGTGCTAAGAAAGAAACACTATTTTTACCTTCTCCTGCACAAGTCATATGTCATGGGATGAGGGGCAGACATGCAAGTGCACAGTTTATGCATCCACATGAAGATTGCATTGTGCCGCCAAAATAAAACAAGAGCTCTGCAGGAATGGCAAAATGCTTTCTGTCTTATATTCACAGAGTAATACCAGTGCATAAGCTAAAGATACATGCTTCCCACAGTTGGTTACACAGTATTTCTGGTATCAGACATTAAATTATTCTCAAGATTAGTAGTCCCACCAGTCTTAGAATATTCCTTCTTGAAATACTCGTAACCATGTTTGCAAGATACTGCTGCATTTGTTTCCCTTCCTCCAACAGAGAAATGTTGTCAAAGGTTGAAAATGCCTCGTCATTACATTATTGGCTTCTTTCTCATGCAATGCAGAGGTGCAGAGACCTTATTGGATTACTGGATGCAACTTTATATTGTTTCCCCAAAACTATGCTCACCCTATGAGTACACAAGGAGCAGATAATGCAGGAAGTGTATATGTAATCAAAGATTAAGCAAGGGCCAAGCGAAAATAAGACATTATCTTATCTTAGCGTTAATACATTCATAATCTAAGGAAATCCATGAAAATAACCATTTATTTGTGAAAGTATTATAAAAACATGAAGTAATCTCCTAATGGTTGCAACATATGGGTGCTGAGGAAACATCAAACAAAACAAATGGGACAATTGGCATCCCTGCCTATTATGACAGTGTCAAATGTACTCTCCATCTACATTAGCAATAGGTACATCTCATAATGGTTTTGGTGCGATGCTCACTCTGAGCAGCTTGCAGTAAGCTAAGAACTTTTTCCTCTTTCATTTATTGAATTTCACAGGTGTTCACTATACTCTTGCCCATTACTAAGGACTGAAGAAAGCCCTTCACTCAGGATTCACAGCTGTTAACCTGTCCCTAGTGGTACATACCTAAGCCAGCCATTCTCCGGACGTCCTCTTTGGCATTGCATTCTCTTTCTTTTATCCAGTAATTGAGTAATCCTATAGCATCCTACCTGGGATACATTCAAATCGCTCCTTGGTCAGGTAAATCTAAGCTGATATTTCTGTCCACCCCAAAGGATATTGCAGCAAGAGAACTGTGATGATGTGTGGGTATACACCTTCTTTGCCCTGTAGAAAATGCTTTCTGTCAGTGAACTTGTAATTAGACAAGCTATTGACTCTAGGTTTTAAAGCTTAGACAGGTGAGGGAAGGATTTCTGTCTCAGATAAAAGGTTTGTTGTACAAGTGAAATGTATTTAAGAAATTTGAGAGGCAGACCCAGAGAAACTCTCGTGGTTAAATCAGTCTCTTGGAAAATATGCATCCAAATGCTCTCAGGTTGAAAGGAAGGGTGAAAGAGAACTAAATGTCTTATCATCTGCATCCACAGTGAGTGCTCTAACCAGCTGTTGTAGCTGTTGCTCTTGGTATAATGAATTGGATTTCACCTCGTAAGTAAATAAAATTAAAAATATAGAGAGGGAGACCACAAGCCCTCAGATGTCACTATTCAATTCACAAGTAGCAGGTGACCCTCCACGACAGATACAAATGTTCTAAAAGCAACAACTGCAATTTTATTTCAAAGAACTGAGCACATCTCAGTCAGAAGACCAGACACTGTATCAAAATCTTCAATTAAATAGTAGCTAATGGAAGCTGAAAGAATAGTGGAAGTCAAGCTCTGTAATAACACTGTGAAAGAACAATTTCAGTATTAGCCAGCTGAAGCCAGTAAGTGAGATATATTCAGCTAAAGGATAAAACTAGAAACACACTCCTCTTTGCCATACATATTTGCATCAAAAGGAGTAAACTTCTGATAGACCTGCTACAGTAGTTTACACTATTGCACTACAAAAGTTTAGATTGCACTTACCTATATGCTGTTGATTGCTTGTGGAAGAACAGCACATTTTATTAAAGCATCGCTTCCCAAAAGAGATACTTGCAAAAAAACAGAGTGCAACAATCTGTTTAGTAGTCTGAACTTGAGCAAGTAAATTCAGTTTGTAGTACAAAACTATGAAATACTTAACATGAAGAACAACTGCTGTACAGCATAACCTGAGAAATTCCACAATACATACTTTCTGTTTATTTTTGTTTTCTGAATGTGAATATGCACATTTATTCTGGCTGATAATTTTTCCTGATATGTGATCAGCAGTGTTTATAGATACCACTGATATTCAAGCCATACAGCAAAGAAAACTGATATGTGAAAAATATAATGTTTTTCCTAATTTGATTTATAATACTCATTCTCAGTTTTACAGATCAAGGCTCACAGTTTTCGCATAGAGCTTTGACTATGACTATTGCAACAACTAGAGGGCTGCATTATGTCAACATTATGGTGGGCAACATAGACCTTAAGAAGACTTACATACTAAACTCGTGGAATGCCCATAGGATCATCTTGACTCTCCAGAAAAACTTCTATAAGAAGATGCAGAACATATTTGTCAGAGTCGTTAATTACAAATGAATTTAATTACCTCAAGCTTCAAGACAATTCAGTGCAAACAAAAACAAACTTCTGGAAGTGTTCTGAAATCTACAGAATTCGGTTTGCACAAGTCTCAAATTTATGCTTAAAAATTTGGCACTCCAACAAAACTGAATTTCTACACAGCAATGAAGGGTAGCAGATCTTAAGTCAACTTATAAACCAGTGAGCTAGACAGGTCCAGATCACCAACAAAAGCACTTGTATGCAGCCGGTCATACTATTGAATTGTTAGCACAGGCCCTGTGAAGTGGCTTTCACCTGGGTCAGCCAGGATGGTCCTACACAGTGTCCAAGCAGAGTTCATGGAATAGGCAAGGGACTGTTCCCACAAGCAGGATGCATGAGGCCACCGTGCTCTGGGTGGAGGGAGAAAATTCTATGAAAGAAAACCATGCTGTGCAACTTGCCCCCACAAAATGGCTCTTGGCCCATTTTACTTCCTAATACATCTTTTGCCAGAAAAGACTGTGGTAGCAAAATGACTCCCTTTTTATGGAAACTCTCCAAAGAAAATCCCTTTGTCAGGAAACTCTCCAGAGAAACTTCAAAACTTAAACATCCACAGGAAGACTGACAGTCCTTCACAGAAGGCTTTGGGTTAGATCTTCATTTGACATGAATGAGCAGAGTCCTACTGATTTTAACTGAAGTCAGTAGTACTATTCTGATTTGCAGGTGCTGGGGATTTGGCCCACTGTTTCAGAGTAGAAAAACATCTTTAGTTAAGGTCTCAGTTTAAATGGTTATGAGAGATTTCTTTTGTCTGGAAAAATCTCTTCTGAACTATGATTGGTTTGTAGCTCTGTGCCCCTAGATAAAAAGGGATTAAGAGCTTTAAGAGCAGAGAAAAGTGGATCTAAGTTAAAACTATAAAACATTTCATCTATTTGTTCCTACAGAGAATCACTAAATGCAGTAAATCAAATGCTATTAAAATCTTGGCCAAACTGGTTCAGAGAATTTTGCTGGCAAGTATAATGCCTGCTTCTTCCACAGAGCAATGTAATAAGAAACACAGACAAAGATGCAGGCCAGAGCTTTGAATGGAAGAATAAAATGTTAATTTGATAATCAGGGTAAATTATTTAAAAGTAACTATTTTCCTTTACATTTTTAGATTTCTACGGTTTACACCAGGAGCTTTAACCTCTGGGTCAGGGATTTTTTGGCAGCTAATGACAGGAGAGGTGAAAGTCACAAGATCTTCAAATCCAAAGGCCAGTCATTAGCTACCAGGAAACACTTGACTCAAAAATTACTTTACTGCTTAGTTAGCATCTTAAAACCCTCTGATATCACAAGCATGTTAGAAAATTAGTACATCTGTGCCCTCTATGCAGTGACTCTTGCTGCTGTACAACTTTCCTATAGTGCACAGCTGCTCTATAGTGACTCCTTTTTTCTTGTCACTTATTCTTTCTGTTTCAAAATAAGAGCAATCTTGTCTGCACACTTTTGGTTGCTGTTTGTCCTTTTTTGTTATATTATTCCAAACAAATCATGGCTTCTGTGAAAGAATTCTTTAGAATGGTAAGGAACTTACAAAGAAAACTACCCCAGGGGGAAAAAGGAACAGGTTTGCAGTTTGGGATAGGAGGGATATGCATCTTTTCGCGCACTGACAACACACAAATATTCTGTGTGTCTCTGTACACATAATGATAATGAATGATAAAAAGAGCATCAGTAAATCTGTTTTTTCACTGAAATATAACTTAAGTGGGAAATTCACCCATCCTAGGCTAGTCAATAACATAATTATCAAAACTTCATCTGGGATCTGCCTCCTTCTGCTTAAAGCAAGGTGAGTCTATAGCAGCTAGGCTATCATCAGCTGAAAGTTGGAGCATCCCATTTTGCCTAACTCTCATTTGACCATGATGGCGGGAGGCTGACTACAGCTTTCGGATTACAGTGCTCAGGGAATGGCGGTTCAAAAGCCCACCTAACTGAATAGTCAGAATTTCCACTTAACACTGCAGCAGCCCCAAGTTGTCAGAACATTCAAATTCAACCCCCTGACTTGAATTAATTAGAAGAACTGACTGCCAGGCTTTTCCACTTAAAAATGAATGACTTGACTGTGGGTGTGTAACCTTACATGGAGCAAGGGAGGACGGGAATGCTTTTGAATATCTTAAAGAATGTTGTGAAAGTTGTTCGGAGATCGTCATTTTGTTTCATCACTTTATTTCTAAAAAAACCCCCCAAAATACAAGTATACTTTAGGGATAGCAAAAGTAATTCTCACTCAGCTCTCTATAGGACAGAGAATGGAACATTTACTTATATTCCCCCAGCACAAGTAACAGCTACATCTCTTAGGGGCTGCTCCAGTTGTAGTAGCTACTACAGACCTACTTCACAACATGCAGAGATAGTGTTTTTCCTCCTTTTTTTTTCAAGCATTCATCTTCACACTGTCTAGATTGGTTAATCAGACCAGGTTTGAACTTCTGTTTGCTAACTACATAAGGAAAATACACTCAAACACTATCAGTAATCAGTGAGTCCCTAACTCACAATATAATTTTCTTAAGTAGATAAATACCAACAACAGAAAGGGGGTTACCTGCTTTACTAGGAGAAAATAGATGCAATTCCGTTCTTTAAAGATTTATGTCTCTATCATTAGTCAAAAGACTTAGCATGACTCTACTAAAACACTACTGAAAAACCCTGCAAAGTCACAATCCTATCAATGGGAATATTTTCAGAGTGGAGAATAAGAACAGTTTCTTGAGTCAGTTATTGATCTCAATTTGATTCCTCTATGGTCATTTTACCCTGGAGTATGAAAGAGAATTGGGTCTCAAACCTTTTAGCAAATAACTCTTCTATTTTGAATTATACAACTGTACCATATAGGTTATTTCAAAACCTTAATTTAGCCCTACTTAACTGAAGGCTAGTGAAGAGGTCTTTGGTAACCTCTAAAGCATGTCACATGTTTAAGGAGGACTCCAATGAACCTGTCTGGGTGCTTAATTCCCTACTAGGATATTGAAACAGCTCAGGAAAGCACTAGCTAGCCAGGAACTAGCTGAGGCAACTAAGCCCACTAGACCATTCACTTATACAGGGTATTACACTCAAAGAGAGAAGCGAAGAGGATTTTGCTGACCAGAAGGTAAGTTACAGTGAAGAACTTGGGGAAAACATAACAGCTACCTCGAATACTTCTGAGTTTTTATGTTCTAGGGTGATTCCTTTTTGTCACACTGCAAGGAAGAAATAGAGCTAGAGACATTTACATATTTACTGTCAAGCTGGATAAATCCAAAATCCTTGTAATAAATCCCTAACTGGGAAATGAGTTCAAGCCTGAGCCTTAAGTGAATTTTCCTCTCTTGTTCTGCTCCTTGCTTAAGTGAAATATGGTAAATGAAAAGAAAAAAAATCAGTGAAATCCAGATAAAGAGAAATGAGATAATACCAGAAGAATAAATATGCAAAAAAAATAAAAAAAGCTAAAAAAGGCCTTAAAAAGTGTAGTAATACTTGGCTACGCAGTGACATCTTTAAGCTCTGTACTGACAGTTTAACAAAATATTCACCAGAGGCCAAGTTCAAACCTGCTTTGTACCTCCTGTAATAGAGAGCATTTAAGATGAATAATTTTCCAAATGGTCTGCAGGATGACCATATGAGCCAGTGTGGAGGACATAAGGGATTAGTGTGAAGGTATAAATTCAGGTATGTACTGAATTTTAGTAGCTTACATATCTATGGATTCTTCTCATTTGCATTCAATCATTCTCTATACAGATTCACTGTGGAGATTCTAGTCAATGGGAAATTTCTGCTCTTCAGGCTGTAATTTTCCCTTGCCTGACCTCCAGAGGAACAGCATCTAATCAGACTTGTATATGCTGTGCTGAGGGAGCAGGTTCACTCTTCAGCACATGATGTAGCTGGTACCTCCATCTGCTTTGCCACAGGAGTGGAGGATTTCTTCAATGTGCGGAATCAAGATTTGGAACTGTTTCTCCTGCCTTCTGAATTGCTCAGGAAGTGTTCAGAGCCAAGGCCATCTGACAGATGACTGATCCAATACATAAATGTGAGCAGTATTGTGTAATATGTGTCTCTGCACAGAGCTTCCATTTACCAGCTGAGTTAAGATGCTCCTGCAGGTAGATCATCCTATATTTACTTTCCTAGTCAAACAAAACTATAGTCAAACATAGTCAAACATAACTATAACTATTAATCATTAGCATAATATAGACTTTCAAAATCTGTCTTATAAAAATAAAATGAAAGTTTATACAAATATTAAACTAAATTACTAAATTATATTAAATATTTATGCTATGATTTAAATTTATAGAGAAGAGAAATAAACATTGAAAGACTACACTATATTGCAATTCCAGCCTAAGATTTTATGTTCATACAAATATTAAAGACATTTCCAAAGTAAAAGGTTTTTTTTTTTGAATTTTAGTAACTACTAAAATAACATGACTGAATACTAAGTCTCAAGTTCCTGTTGACACATGAAAACATTCGATCAAAACATCTTACTCCATAGCTGATTTAAAAATGTGTACTCTATGACTCTTATTCAGAAACCTTGGTGGTTTCTGAATATTCTTGTGTTCCTCAGAATTAGTGAATTTCTATAACTGTCTATAGTGTGTGGAATTCTAACTACCCTAATTGACATTTTGACTGCATTTTCAGGCAATACTTTTGATTAATAAAGTAGGATTTTCCCCTGTTGCACTGAAAAAGTTCAATACAAAATGCATTTATTCAGACACGAAAATGCATTGCGGTGTTCACATAACCAAACAGTTTTTCTACCAAGTATTTCATACACCTAGTTGATTCTCTAGTCTCAGTGTTTCTTATCACTAACAAACAATGATCATATTCTTCTGAATAATGGGATGTTCCCGACTATACATACCACGTCAAA